AGATTAATAGAGGAATATTTAAAAATAAGTAAGACAAGCTATACAACCAAAACAGTACTCAACCATAATAACAATAAAAAAAAAAAAAAAAAAAAAAAAAAATAATAAAAATAAAAATTAAAAAAAAATAAAAACAAACAATAATAAAATATATATATATATATATATATATATATATATATATATATATATATATATATATATATATATATATATATATATATATATATATATATATATATATATATATATATATATATATATAAATAAAAAATAAAAAAATTGTTTTATAAATACCAATATGAACTAAAATATACAAGAAATACATAACCAGTCAACAATTTGTAAAACAAAAAACCATTCAACAAATTAAAAATATGCTAACAACAATGAAAGGACTAATAATGGAAAAAAAATATTAATGCTAATGTGTAAACATAATTAGTGTAGTGATAAGTAATAAACATCTCCTCAGAGTCGCGTCTATTATTACTGGCGTTTCGATGAGGATCAGCATTTATAACTAGTTTATCCCGTCAGACAAACGTCATCGCCACTTATGCTTTACCCCGCGACTTACGCCTATTCCATACTGCAGTAAAAAAGGACTCACTACAAATAGCCAAAACCCAACCAACCCCAAATTTGTAAAGCACCAATATTTTTTTTGATGATATGATATAAAAAGTATAGATTTACTGAACAAACAAAAATAAAAATAACTAAATAAAAACACTTACCGTACCACCAAAAGAAAACATAAAAACAAAATAAATTAAAATTCTAATAGAAACATAAAAATATTAATCAATTTATCTTAAGAAATAAAACCAAATAGGTATTATTAGCATAAACAAGCCCAAGATAATCAGAAAGCAGTATACCTCATTAAAAAAATTTTTAATAAACAAAACAATACCCTTAAATAAACTCTAACGCTGTCATAGATACCTCATTCGAAATATGATAACCAATCAAAAGTGTAGGAAAATGAGTAACCCGCGAAACCCAAAATCATAATAATAATAGAATAATAAATGATAGCGAAAAAGAACGTTGCACAAAAACCTTAAAAATGTAAGCGACATATATGTAAAACATTAAATGAAGGATATAAAAATATTCTCTGAATAATAATAAAGATGAAAAGTGCATGTGAAAATTAAAACAAAGCTGAGTAATGAATGCAAGATAATATAACATGAAAGTTTCTGTAAACAGTAATAATATGAAAATCAGGAGATAAGTAATATATTAATAAATATAGCAATAAGACTAAATAAATATTGTAATAAACCCAGATAATTTGAAGCCAAATGAGTGGTTAAAAAATTAGTTGTTGGTAATATAACAATGATATAAATCGTGATATAAAAACGATGTAGAAAGCGGGAAAAAAAATTGTTAAGAAATGAAGTTTTCTCTACGGTCCGAACTAAATGAAAGTTTGAGACCATATCTAAATCGAAATTTCCGAAAAGTAAAGTTTTCTCTACGGTCCGAACTAAAAGAAACTTTGAGACCATATCAAAATCGAAATTTCCGAAAAATAAAGTTTTCTCTACGGTCCGAATTAAATGTAACTTTGAGACCATAACAAAATAACAAGGAAAAACATACTTCATAAAAACAAGTCGAAAGCCGCTAGTTTATAAGAATCACTCTTATGCTTATATGTATATGCATATGAATCCTTTAATGAAAAATTCAATTACACATGATAAACACATATAGATAACATACAAATCTGTATCTACATTTCAACAACATATCTATTAAAAGAAAATATTATCTAAATAAGGATGAGTTCAAACAAAGATAGTTTATCTATGAAAGAAAAAAAAGCATACAAAAGATGTAAACAGACTATATGTGCATAAAGGTGTATAGGTGTAATGTGTAAGTCTGTGCTGTTTATGTCGTTCAGTAGAGTCTTGTATTGTTAGTAACCAGCGTAAAAGATTTGTCTCTGAACCAAACCAAGCTAGCCCAGCCATACTCCAGAAAACCATGATGGATTAAACACCTATGCATGGATTTATAACTGACTTATGACTAAAAAGCCAGCCCAGGCATCTTCCACAGACAAAAATCCTCTTTCGCGGTGACAGTAATTGCGATTAGGAAAATAGTCGTGCTCGATGACCGTAACACTAACCTTTACGGGCTAGGCCCAATATTATTTAAAAACTTTGGCATATAAAATAAAAAATGAAATAAGTATGATTTTGAAATGTTTAAAAAAACAATGCATGTTTACATAATTATTAAATTTTAAATCAAAATCAAAATAACATCAAATTTTTCAGATATCTGTGTATCAATTTTTTATTGATTTAAACAATTTTAAGCTTTATATTTGTTTTGTTTTTATTAATAGCGTAAAGATTTTGCCCACAAAAATCGGCCATTATGCCGATTTTTGTGGGCAAAATCTTTATTTGCTTCATTTTTTCTTATACTACCGATTTACAGCAGTTAGACATCTAGTTATTCTTAATATATCATTGACAAAAACAGACATTGATTCAACGTTGAAAGCACGTTGTTTTTGTGACTTTAACGCTTTTTCTACGCTGCGACTGATTTTTAACGTTGATTCAACGCTGATATGTTTGCTGTGGTACTTGACGGAATACTCGCCAAGTTCGGCCCTACTTCTAGAAAAAATGAGTTGAGTTCTTTAGCTTTTTTTTTTTTATCGTAAATCATTTCCCCATCAATTAAAAGCTTTTGTGGGAGATTATTTTTTTCACATTTATTTTTACCAATTATTTGTTTAATTATATTCCACGTTTTTTTAGTGTCGTCGTTAGTTTTTTCCAACAACTTTGTATAATAAATTTTTTTTGAGTGTTTTTTGTTTTTTTCAAATAAGTTTTTATAGTTTTTGTAGTTTATTTCATTTTTATATGTTTTATGTCTTAAATATTTATCATAAAGTTTTTTTTTTTTTTTAGATGATTTTATTAAATCCTTGGTCATCCAGGGGTTTAAAAGAGACTTGGATTTTTTAACAATTTTTTTAACAGGAAATGCAGTCATACTGTTTACAGAACTGCGCTAAAAATAAATCATATGCGGTATTGGCTTTATGGGATTGTAAAATGACATTCAAATCGATATTTTTTGTTAAAAGAGTTCGAAAATACAATAAGGAGTTTTCATTGATCTGTCGTGTTAAGATTGTAGTGTTTAAAGGGACATTATTTAGGGTTATGTTATCAGTAATTAAGAATATTGGAAAGTGATCAGTTAAATCAGTTTTAGTTATGCCTGTTCCTAAACGGCAGTTTTGAAAATTGTTAGTAATTATATTATCAAGTAGTGACGATGAGGTCTTAGTTATTCTCGTTGACTTATTTATTGTTGATATTAGGTTATGTTCTATAAGCGTATCTTGAAAATGTTGAACATTTGTATTTGAAGCATAATTTAGTAAATTTAAGTTAAAATCACCAGCTAAGTAAACATATTTCCGTGTTATGCTAGTTTTGGTTAAAAAACTGCTTAAATAAGTTTTAAATTTTTCAAATTACCAGTTGGTTGTCTATAAATAGAATTAATTACAATATTTTTGGTGGTTTTGTTTATAATTTCTATGCACAATGACTCACAATCAGTTTCATTAATATTGAGGTCAGGACGTAGAATAAAGCTAATTGATTTGTGGACAAAAATACTTATACCACCACCAGCATAGTTAAAACGTGGTTTTTGAACTGATACATAATTACCTAACTCAAAGTTTGAATTTTTTTCGTCAAGTTTGTATGATACAAATTATTTTAAATTCGTGGTTTAGTTGATGCAGTAAAAGTTTGAGATTTTCAAAATTTTTGTTAATACTTCGAATGTTTACATTTAAAATAGAAAATGTATTTTTGTTCTGACAGAGGTATTGAGTAGATTCAAAAATTGAATAATACTCGCTTTCTAAATTTTTTCCATTAAAATAGTTATCATCATTAGCATTCTCATCATTTAAATTAAGTGAAAAATTGGCCTCCATTTTTAAGAGAAAAATTAATATAATTAAACAAAGTAATATATAAAAAAGTAAAAAAAATTGTAGAATATATAAATGTTACAAAGAAAAATTTTTACTTTAGTTTGCAGCCCAATCCCGAATAACCAAACTATCGTAAGAGGTAAATGCATATTTCCCAGCCGCTCGTTCAACCTTTATCTGTTCTCGTAGAGCTTTCCTAATTGTGACAGTTTCGGCGCAAAAGTTTTTAATCCGTCAACCCTTAAATTGTTTCTGCGAGATCTATCCTCCATCTCTCTTAGTTTACTTTTTAATTTAACATAGTCGGAACTATGATTTAGCTTATCGATGCCAGATGTATGTTTTTTTTCCTGAGAAGCAATTGCGGTCTTATTTTTTTCTTCAAAAAGATGTTCGTGAAAGTTTAAGCTTCGTTTGATTTCTTCTACGTCTTTTTCTAATGTCTTTATATGTTTTGCATAATTATTAACCTTTATGTCTAGTTTATCTAACCTATTATATATAATTTTTGTGTTGGCGCTTAAAATATTTAACACGTTTTTTTCCTGCTACTTCATCATTTTGTCTATTTCGTTCTTAAATTCTTTAAACATTTTTTGTATCTTTTTTTTTTTACTTGATCCATTGTAATAGCCATAATTAACCAATATGTAATATATAAAAGTATATATTTATTTATATTTGTTTATTTAAATAATTCCAAACAATCAAAAAAAGTTTTTTTTTTTTTCAAATTTCAAATTTCAAATTTTCAAATTTCAAATATTGACATCACATAGCATTAAAAATAGTAATGTAAAAATTAATTGTTCAAATAAATTGCTTTCATGCTTTATACTTATTGACACAGACATTTTAAAATCAATTGTTACTTTGTTCTCAATGCCATAATAAGTCCATTGAAATCAAAAAAGAATTGGTTGGCTGTGTTTTTAAACATTTCTTGTGCAATTGTTTAAACATTTCTTGTGCAACATTTTCGTGCAATCGGAAACAGTCTTTTTATTCTAGCAAAGAGATTGAAAAGCAAGGTCCAGAAATGTCACCATTTGAAATAAATTATAAAACTGTTGTTGCAATGAGAGAGATAGGAAAAATTCATCCTGGTTAGGAGAAATTTTGTGGTTAATAAACTTACCTTCTCCAATGAACATAAAAGCATTTAATGATGTTCTAGATAAAATTCATATCATATACCAAAGTGTAGTTGATGTGAAAATGAAAAATGCAGCAAATGAATTTTGATATCTTAACAACGATATCCAATGAAATGATTTTGATATTAATGTAATAGCTGATGTTGTTGTTTCCTGTGATGGAACTTGGCAAAAAAGGGGTCATTCCTCACTTAATGGTGTTTTTACTGTTATTGCTTGTGACTCAGGGAAATGTGTTAACTCTTGAGTTCTTTCAAAAATATGCAATGCCTGTACATCATGGGAATCAAAGAAAGATATCCAGAACTTTATGAAAATTTTTTGGAAACCCAGGATTGTTTAAATAATCACGAAGGTTCTGCTGGATTTATGAAAGTTTATGAAATTGTAGATTGTTTATGAAATATATCGACAAAAGGGAACTTCGATATACTCATTACATTGGAAACGGGAATTCCAAAGCACATGCTGAGGTACACCAGGTACATTTGCTACTCAGTACTGTACCAAAATAGACCAAGAAAGAATAAAGATGAGGAGAAAAAGTTGCTTGACTCAATAAAACAAAGAAGAAAGCTGCTTTGCGCTGAACGAAAAGGTTTTACAGATATAGTAAATGAAAGTGAAGGTTTAATGAATTTAATTAAAGAAAACCAGTTTAAGGCCTACAAAAAAGTTTTTTTTAGGCCTTAAACCGGTTTTCTTACAAAAGCTTCAATAGTTTGTTAAATTATTTGATTTTGCCAGGGTGAGTGTAATCATCTGATATTAAAAAGCTGTGAAAAGTTCATGATCATAACATTATTAGTTTACTGGCTGTTTATCGCAGCGCGTAGTCCATATTTAGGGTTCATGGACCCCAAATTTTGACCAAAATAAAATTTTTTCAATTTTTTTTGTTTTACTGTGCCTTAAATATAAAATACTATTTCTTATATGAAAATCATAAAATATGAGTGCATTTTTAAACTTTTGATTTTATTAGTATAGGAACACCTTAACAGATGGTACACATTTTTTAATTCAGTGATAAAATTAAGAGATAAATATTTTGAATCCCTTATCTAAGACGCCTGCAAAATTTGAAAAAAATGATTAAAATCCACTAATAAACACTTGAACGAACTAATAGCAAATACTACGAGTGGTAAGCATTGTTGCATTTTTTTTTTTTTTTTTTTTTTTTTTTTTTTTTTTTTTTTGTCATTGTCCTTAATTACTATAGATTAACTTTTGTAAAAGTAAACATCTTAATAACTTTTTATTAAAATTAGCCTTAAATTTTAAAATAAAAAAAGTCAAAACAATTGTTTTGACTTTTTTTTAATTTTATTCTTTAAAAGAAATGCGTCATCATCATTAGAGAAATTCCCAGGTTGAAAACTTACGTGAAATAATTTTATCATTAAAATAAAAAAAATCTCTTGGCAAATTCGTCATCTGCGTAACAGGAAGAACGTAAGTAAACCATTTTACGTTACAGTTAAAACCTGTTATCTAATGTCTTTTTTTTTTTAACTTTAATAACTTCTGTTTTAAGAAATATTAAACTGAGGATGCCTTTAAAGTACCAAATGGACTCGATCACTCAATATAGTTTTAAAGAAAAGATCCATAGAAAATGCTCCAGAAAATATGTAAATCAGAACTACAGTAATGATGATTACGATGCTGATTCCGAAACAGAGATTATTGAAAGTATTTCCAGAAAACTTACATGTGCGAGTTATGCAAACAAAATTTCAAACTGTTGTACTGATGAGATGATGCTGTCACCAGATTTAAAAAAGAAAAACAATAGTTGCGCAACAGCTTTAAACCACTATGCTCCATCGTTTTCAAACGCGCGCAGAAACTTTAATAGTCGGTACAAATTGTTTTCTCCTTTATTTGGTTCACCCTACAAACATTCATTTACACCAAAAGGTTCACGTTTAAAAAGAAAAATTGATGTTATTTTATACGACACTTGCAACATGCAACAGCGCAAAAAAGTTTGTAAAACGATGAAATGCGAGAAATCAACTGAGAGATGGAGTCAACAATTTCAAAAAGTTGAAATGCAACAATTAATAGAGTAGCAATTTATTTTTAAATTCTTTGTTAAAACAAATGACTATGTGCTACGTGTTAAACTTTTAAAATAATATTAAAAATTTCAGCAAATAAAATAAAACATATAATTTATATAAGCAAATATTATATACCACAATAATAAGTTATACATTAAATTATATTGGTATTTATATATTTATGTAAAAACATTCGTTTGAAAAAATTTGTACATTGAAGTATTACTCATTCTCTTTTGTTTTTAATAAAAGATAAGTTTTAAATGTAAGATAAGTTTTTAATGTTAATAGTGGATTTAAGAAGAAATTAAATAGAGTATTTTAATTCAAAGTACGCAAATGAAACAACACAATTTCCAAACTATTTTTGTTATTATTTTTATTGTATATACCACTTAATTTTAAAATAAATTGCACGCTAATCAGGATAGGTGGAATTTAATTTTTTTTAGTTCCAAAATTACAGAAAAGTTATTAGTTTAAACATTTATTGTATACACAAAATATTTAGGCCTTTTCTCAACACCAAAAATCTAGATCAAATGGCAACATTAGAATTAAAAGTTTTGTGTTGGATAGACACTCTTCAGGGGCGAACTCAGAATTTTTTGATATTTAAGTTTTGCAATTTTTAGTTTTAAACTCTTAACTTTTGTATGTTTATAAGTTTATAAGGACAGAACGCCTATACATTAATGAAGATTACTGCGAAAGAACAACGGAATTAAGAAAGAAATTGTTTATTGAAGCGAAAGAACTTAGAACAAAAGGTAAATATGCAAAAGTGGTTTATAATAAACTTGTTATGCGCGATGCTTAAAAATAGGAATTCCTTTGTTTTCGCTAGGCACTAAAAGTATACTAAACTATTAAAATGGATTCAGTTTTACTAGATAATTTTAAATTAACCTTTAATTTTCTTCAAACAAATAAATACCTTATTGATGAGAGATCTGATCCAGATCTAAATTATTTTAGCGAAGCAGGTGCTTTACAAAATAATTGTTGTTATTTTTACGCACATGAAATAAAGAACTTCCTAGAGCGTGACCATTTGAATGCCTTGCATATAAATATAAGAAGCTTAAAAAAAAATTTTGAAAGTTTTTGCTTATGTATGAAAGATACTCTAAACGTTTTTAATATAATTTGTGTAACCGAAACGTGGTGCGATTCTGACGAAGTGAATTATGACTGTAATATCCATTTACCTGGTTTTAAAATAATATCATTAGCGCGTAAAGCAAATAAACGAGGCGGCGGTGTGCTTATTTACATAAAGGAAAGTTTTCAATTTTTTACAAGGCTTGACCTGAGTATTTCTGATGACGATAAAGAGATTTTAACAATTGAAATTTTAACCTAAAAAAATAAAAACATACTTTTAAGTTGTTGTTATCGCCCACCTTCTGGAAAAATTGAATGCTTCAACACATATTTAAATACTAATATTATGAAAAAAGCTGACCACGAAAATAAATTAATCTATATAATTGGTGATTATAATTTAAATTGTTTTGATTATCACGTCAAGCAAAGCACACAAAAGTTTTATAACAAATTATTCAAAAATGGAGCGTTTCCTTTAATAGATAGACCAACCAGAATTACCGAAAAAACGGCTTCAATAATCAATAATATTGTAACTAACGATGTTTTTAATGAATCTTTAAAAAAGGGTATTATTAAAAGTGACATTTCCGATCATTTCCCCATTTTTTTCTCTATAAATATAAAACCAAAAGTACTACCTAATGAAAAAACAACCTTTTTAATAAAAAATCTATAACGAAGCTAATTTATTATCGTTTCATGAACAACTGTCATTGCTTCATTGGAAAGATATAAACACTTCATCTGACGTAAACTTTGCTTACAACCAATTTTTTAAATCTTTCTATGAGGTATATGATGTAAATTTTCCGAAACGCAAAATAAACTTAAAAACCAAAAGTGTAAAATCACCATGGATTACAAACACCCTAAGAAAATCATCAAAAGTCAAACAAAAGTTATACATTAAATACCTTAAAGAAAAAACGATAGAAAGTAAAACCATCTACAAAAAATATGCGAGAGAATTTGAAAAAATTATAAAGAATCTTAAAAAAAAAATACTATTCCGATTTACTTATGCGATACGAATGTGATTCAAAACGCACATGGCAAATTTTAAGAGAAATTACCGGTAAAACAAAAATTAAATCATGCACTCTGAAAAATGGCATTAAAATTAATGGTGATATCTCTTATGATCCACGTGAAATAGCAATCGAACTAAACAAATTTTTTGTCACGATCGGACCTAACTTAGCAAGAAATATACCAAATATAAAGAAAACAAGTGATATCTCATCTATTGCATTACCTAATCTTGATTTTTTGGAATTATCGTTTGAAGAATTTGAAACAGCTTTAGTGCGCTAAAACCAAATAAAGCAAGTGACTTCGATGATATAAATGGCAATGTAATAAAAAATTCATACAAGGCTATAAAAGACGTGCTTTTTAAAATTTTTTCACTTTCAATCAGACAAGGAATTTTTCCTGATCAATTTAAAATTGCAAAAATCACACCGATATTCAAAGGAGGAGACTTAACAAATATCAATAACTATCGCCCTATCTCTGTTCTTCCAGTCTTTTCTAAAGTCTTAGAAAGAATTATTTATAACAAAATTTACACTAATTTAACTAGCAACAGTTTATTATTTAACCACCAGTATGGATTCAATAAAAACAACTCTACAGAGCACGCGAATCTCCAGCTAACACGTAGTATCACAGAATCTTTCGAGAAATCCGAATATACTTTAGGCATCTTTATCGACCTATCGAAAGCCTTTGATACAATAGATCATAAAATTCTTTTTAAAAAACTCAAAAATTACGGAATAACTGGAAATGTTTTAAAGTGGATAAAAAGTTATTTATGTAATCGCAAACAATTTGTAACCATTGACGCTTCTTCTCCAATAAGTTTGTTAGAAATTACTTGTTGTGTTCCTCAAGGATCTATTCTCGGACCACTTCTTTTTCTTATATATATCAACGATCTCTATAAAGTATCCAGATTAAAAACAATCATGTTTGCAGACGATACAAACTTATTCTTATCTCATACTAACATCACTACTCTGTTTTAACTTATGAATGTAGAATTAAACAAGATTTCTTACTGGTTTAAATTAAATAAATTATCGCTTAATATTCTAAAAACAAACTGGACTCTCTTTCACCCGCCCTCTAAGAAAAAACTACTGCCTTATGAAATGCCATCCCTTTTTATTGATAACATCGAAATAATTAGAGTAAACGTTACAAAATTCTTAGGTGTTTATATTGATGATAATCTTTCGTGGAAAAATCATATTGAAAATTTATATAACAAAACTTCAAAAAGTTTAGGAATTTTATATAAAGCAAGAAACTTTTTAAATAAAAAAATTTTAACTCAATTATATTTCTCTTTTATTCATAGCCATATAAATTATGCAAACATTGCATGGGCTTGCACCAATAAAAGCAAACTTGAACCTCTTTATCGTCATCAGAAACATGCAGCACGTTTGATACATTTTAGTGAACGTCTTACTCATGCAAAGCCTCTATTAAAAAAAATGAACGCCTTAAATGTATATCAACTCAATGTTTATAATACTCTTTGTTTTATGTTCAAATGTAAAACTAATTCTTCACCAGTTTCTTTCCATGATTTGTATATGTTAAAAGATAAAAATAAATACTTTTTACGCAATAACAATTTTATTAAGCAGCCATTTTTTCAAACTAACTTGAGCAAATTCTGCATTACTTCTCGCGGACCATTCTTATGGAACAAAATTGTCTTAAAAAACTTTTCTCAAGATTTTATCCAACAATGTAACTACAACTCTTTTAAACGAAAGTTAAAAGAATTAATTTTTACAATTGACAATCTATCAATTTACTTTTAATAATTTTTAATAGTTTTCCCATTTTACCTCCACTTATCAAAGAACTATTATTATTTTATAATTTATATATTTACCAAGAATATGTATCAATATATACGACAATTTATATGTTTATTAACTTATATAGTATTTATATAACTGATCTTTATATTTATAACGGGTTTTCTGAATATTTTTAATTTGTTTGTATCACGTTCATTTTAGCGGTTCTCGACGACAAGACCTTACGGTCTTCTACGAGTCCCCGCGTTCTTTTATTTCTTATTTACGATTTTTCTTTTTTGTTATTTTCTTGTAACTTCTATATTTTATTTTTTAATTTGTATATTTATAACGGAATGTTGTTTAAAATGTAATAAAGAACAAAAAATAAAATAAAAATTAAAAAAAAAAAAAAAAAAAAAAAAGTAAGCCATGTAAAAAAATTTTCTAAAAATTGCGCTAATTATTATAGAAAGGCAGAACAACAACCTAAATATTAGGGATAATAACCTAAATATTAGGAATAACCTTGAATGCAGATAGCATTGTTTTTCAAAAAAGTATTTAAAATTTTTTAAACTAATAACTAATGTAACTAATGTAACCTAATAAGTTTTAATAGCAACTTCTAACTTAAGATGGTGCTAAAACAATAATTATAAAAATCAACTTTTGAAACAATTTTTAACAAATATTTTTTGGTTAACAAAATCTTAAAACTAAGAAAAATAAAAATACAAAGCTGTATTTCAAAATCTTGAAATATTTATATAGCTTATTTTCGTTGGCTCATTTATTTTTTCTAAATATTTATCAGTACAAAGATCACATTTTGATGTAGGAGTTGTACAAAAATTATGTGGAGAATACATAAAGTTTATAAGTAAAGGTTTATTAGCTATATATTTATAAGCTGCTGGTGTCAAGTGGTCGATATATATAATGAAATAATTTACATTGGAACCTTATAGTACAACTCCTGAATATGACTATAATGAATATATCCTTGAAATTAAAATAAAAAATCATTTTTTTTGGAAAAAATAACTTCCCTCCTTTTTTTGGTCTATTTTTACTCCCAGGTTTTGATCAGAGCAGTTTACAGTCAAACATTCTTATAGGACATAGGTGTAAATAAACAATAGCTTGGAGTTAAGAACTTAACTAAAAAATACTAACCTCAAGAATCAAAGTCCTTTGTTC